GAACAAGGAACAAGATTAATCTGTTGAAGTGGATAGTAATTAGTATTATTTATATTAATATCTGATTGCCAGTGTGTGATTGATATTTCGTTAGAATCTGTAAGATGTTTACGAATTTTGCCTATAATGATTTTTTCATTATTAAAAGTAATTAGCCAGGGTTTATGTTTTTAGGAATATTGTATGTATTATATGCAAAGGGATTAGTTTCTTGCTGTTAATATTAAGATTTGAGAGAGTGATGATAATGATTTTCTATAATAAAATTTTTAAGTTTAGTAAACCAAATCAGTTTTCTGCCTTTAGGTAAATAAAAAATTCTTGGTAATAAGTATAACTATTCAAGAAGTGTAGAGTTGTCTGAGGTGCAGAGTTGTTCAAGATAAAGTAGATTTAGTTGTCTAAGTTGTTTTTTAAAGGTTGTGTATTTAGGGTGATGTTGAAAAATAATTTCAAGAGGTTGAAGCTGGTAATAGATAGTGTTTGGCCATGATATATTACTATTAGCTCTGATAGAGATAGCAATTTGTAGAAATAGTTGGATAATTTTAAAGTTGAGAGTATATTTATCTTGACCATCAACATTAGGTTGAGGATGTTCAAGAATGTTTATAGTAGACCAGAGGTTGTTTTGAAGCTATTGTAATCTAATACATGTGGAAATATCTAGTAAATAGAAATCATTAATTCACTGGAGAAAGGTAGTAATATGGTGTTGTAATTGTATATTCCAAATATTATGTATATTGTATAGATAAGAATGGAGCATTGTACTATTAGGGATTGATCGGGCAAGATGAGATTTGTGTTTAGCAACTGTAAGGTATTTGGTCAGTATGTGATTACATATAGTTTTAGGAAGAATAATATTATGTATTCTGTATTCTAATGTTGAGATTATAACTGTATTAATAATGTAAGTAATTTGTTTGTCTATAATGTGTATTTTTGTAATATGTATATTTTAATTATAATTAAAATTATTTTAATATTTTTAAATCTTTTTGTATTATTTTAAACTGTTTTAATATAATCAAAATTTGATTTTTATTTATTTTGATTTTATATACTTTAATTATTATAAACCAATTTTAATATTTTTAGTTAGGAATGTAGTAACCTAGTGAAGTAGTTAGGTTGTTAACCCTCAAGTGACAGGTCCAGAGTTCAAATCTCTGTGTTAATAAAAAATTTAAAAATTTTTTTTGTATTATAATTTACTGTCTCTTGTAATTGGTTAAGATAAGACATCTGTTATCTATATCATACTAGTATGACTGGCAGGTTACATGGCATTTGTATAACAGTCATATGACATTGTCTTTTGAAACAAGGTCTGTAGTTACACAAAGGAATGCAAACCAGTACCAGATAGTGCAAACCTACAATAAGTTTTTATAGCTATATACATTATAGGAATTAAATGAAATAAGATAGAAGCTTACTTGAAAGACCTAAGTAAAAAGATAATCCAAACTTTTGATAGTGCTACTGTAAAGACTAAACTTATGAAATAGAGATAGAACTTGTGAAACTAGGCAAATATGCTGGTCTTTGAGGAGAAACTGAACAAACTAACCAGATTGTTAGAATTTTCAAATTTTAGAGAAAAATATTACATGTCAGAAAACATGTAAACTAAAGATGTATAATTATAATCTGCCTTTCTAGGCTATCTGGGTTGGCAGCTTAATAGAACTTGAATTAAATACCAAACTAGTAGGAATATGTTGTAAAGTCAGTACTGAGGTTGGGATAAACTCTATAAGATTATAGTAGTTTAATAGTATGCCCTGACTACTAGTATTGGTTTCAGCTATAGTGATACCAGGTTAGCTATAAGAATGAGATACAGAAGCTTCTGAAAGGTTTAGTACAAGAACAAAGGTTCTTCATATAAATGAACTGCTTTAAAGACTTAGTAGTCATGCTATATTTTTACTAATATCAGCTAGGGTCATTGCTAAGCAGAGATAAATAGATAGATACAGAAACTAAAGTAGTTAAATAAGGAACTTACAAGCAGGTTTCAGGTATGGCAACTAGTATAGAACCTTTGAGTGGATGACTTAAATTAAACAATGACTAAAGTTGTACAAGTGGCTAGTTGTATACTTTTTTTATAATTGTCTCTTATGATTGTAAAGCATCTATTAGTCAAATATACTATCAATAAAATTTTGGGTTACAAGTACTCACCTTAATATTTAAAAAAAAATATTCTTAGTTAATTTTTATTATTTTATTTTGCTTTTTCACATTTTTAAAAATAATTCTAATGTATTTAAATATTTTTGCATTTTATTAAATACTTTTAATGTACTTAAAATTTTTAACTTCTAACTATTTTGAATTATTTTATAATTATTTAAATATTAATATATAATTTTAATTATATTTATTATTTTTAGTATTTTCAAATTAATTAATTTACTTGTAAACAATTAACAATATTTAGAATTTTTTTAATTATATACATTCTTACATCATTTATTGTTTTTTAAATAAGACTTTAATTTTTAATATAAATTTTTATACAATCAATTATTTAATACAAATATTTTAATTAATAATAAAAAAATTGCAATATAATGAATAATTATAAGGGTAGTAACAGATATTATGTAATATCATTTTACTATAAGGTTACTCCCCTTCCTCCCATATAAGATAGGCTTTAAACCAATCAAATTCAATGATTTAAAAATTACATTATATTATATAAAAAATAAATATAATATTTTTTATTAATTTATAAATACAAATAGAAAATAATAATTCCAAGATGCTATTATTATTAAATCAACTCTATGCAGACTAGGTAACAGAATTTATTTTTGTAAAGTAGATAATAAACACAGGTTGAATGAAAACAAATTAGGCCCTACTTAGCATTACATAATCCCTAATTTGAAACTGATATTTGGCAGAAATAAAAAACCTTTAGAATACAAATCGGGTTCAAATAGGTGTTCAATACATATCAGAATGCTGATAGCTCAATTAGTAAATCAATAAAGCTATAAAGCAAGCTTTATTGATTTACCAATTGAGCTATTCAGCATTCTGATATGTATTAAATGCCTATTTGAACCTGATTTGTATCCTAAAAGTCTTCTATTTCTGCCAAATATCTGTTTTAAATCAGGTTTTTATCAGGATTATGTAATGCCTAGTGGGCCCGATTTGCCTTCATTCAACCTGTAAAATTCAGTTAAACCAAGCATTCCTCAATTCAAAAGTGGCATAGTGATAGTGCAAAAAGTAAACAGTACTGTGTAAAGATTTGACTCTACCCAGATATTATTAAATTACTCAGATTATCCAAGTAAATTATTATTTTGGCAAATTTCTAGCTAGTCCAATTCTTAGCAAAGTGATTTCCAAGCTTAATTAAAGTGAAAATTTATTTCATTGCACCATTAATATCTAGATCTTAAAAAAAAATTTTTTTTTGAAGCTTTCTATTCGATTTAGTTCAAAGATCATAGTATTACTAAACTTTTACATTAGCACTATATCACTTGAATTGAATACTATACTGTATTAAGTTACTGTATAATAGTAATTAATTTGGGTGCATCAAGAAAAAATCTGATAATGCTCAAATTAAATTACATACTATATATGAGAATGCCTACAGTAAAAACAGGGAATAGAACTATATATAATATATAGTCCCATCTTCTGCTTTTGCTATCTGCTTCTCCATATATCAAAAATCAACTGAATTCGATAACCCTTAGTCTATTTGTTCTTGGAACACACTATGCTGCACATTATACCTAATATTTTTGTGAAAGTGAATAATTATAGCTTTAATCCTAATCTAACAATCTAGTCAGATATCGTAAATTCTAACCCTAAGTCTTGCCAAGTTTCTAAACAAGAAGCATATGCTTGAATTTCTTTTCTACAATATAGATAAAAAAAATAAATGTGGTATAGCCATAGCTTCTTAATATAATAAATGCATAGTGCAAAAAAAGAGATCTAAGCCAAATTTGAACTAGCAAAAAAAAACAAAAAATTACTTACAAAGGAAAAGCATGTAATATGAATGCATTCAGATTTGTATAGTTTCAAGGCTGCAACAAATAAACCTGACAGTAAAATCTTAATAGCTGGAGTTTGCACATTTTTAGTAATTTATGTATTGCTTGATTATGTCCAACATGAGATATGTCAAGTTTCAGCCTTGATTACTAAATCACCTAATGTATTTGCTATATAAAATTTTTAAATACTTCATGAACATTATTTCAAAACAAAACACATTATTTTTAAGAATTTAATCAAAATAATGCCCACAGTTGTTATTTTATGATTTTATTAATAATATATGCCTTTTTTCTACCAAATTCATGTCTCAATCAAATTTATATAATTTGATGTATCATTGATATCTCATGATCTAGTGATCAATTCTTGTTGATGATTTGAATTGTTTTAATGAGACAATTCAAATGGTATTAAAATTAAAAATTTGATTAGATATTTTAATAGATCAAATTATGCGAATTTGATTAAGACACGAATTTAGTATAATAAGTAAAATTATAAAGTAAATCATATAGTATAAGTTAGTTAAGATATTTAATTAAATAAGATGTATTGACTATATATGAAATAAAGAAGAACTCACATTGTACAATGCAAGTTTAGCTGCAAATTATGCAATCTATATTCTATATTAATCTTAACAAATATGTTGAACTTCTGTAAAAAAATTATTTATATAATTAGTCAAAGTTCAAATTAAATAAATTTGATCAGTTTTTCATAACTCATTATTTTCATTTTATTTCGAACATAATAAGTTGACAAACCTTTCTTTCTAATTCCAAGTTCGATAAAACTTACATATACAAATCTTCGAATACTAAATATCAGCAGTTTACTAATATATTTGCATACCATTTGATAATAGAAAATGAAAATCCATCTCAAGTCGATTATATATATATGACACTGCTGTGAAGGAGTAGAAAAATATTAAAATGTTTGAGGAAACTAAAATTAATGATATAATAAAAGGATACTTAGCTACACCTATTAAATTAAGAGAATTCATTGGGTCTACTGTTTTATCTCAAAAAACAAATATTCCAAAAATTACAATTAGTAGTTCTCGTGCTATGATAGCAATTTCTACAGAAAAAGAAATTCGGAATAGTACACCAGCACAAAAACGTGCAGCTTGTTCTATAAAGGCTGCTAAAACAAAAATCAAAGAGCTAGAACAAGTATATAACTTTACTTCTAATTCACAACTTCAATGTGAATTACATAACAGGATTACAAGTCTAAAAACTGATATTCAATCACATAAAGACATATTGCGAAAATTAAAAAGAAATGCCGATTATCAGTCCAAATGTCATTCTAAAAAGTTAAAGCATTAGAAGAACAACAAGAGGTAGTTTGGTATGACAAATGTAGTAGACCATCATACTTACTTCGGAACTCAGACTTACTGAAACATATTTATAATTCAATCAAATATGGATCAGCAGATACACAAAGACGTAAAGAAGCAATTAAAGTAAGAATTGTGAATCATCTAAGAGAAAATCTTAAAAAAAACTATGGCATCTATATGGCAAGAACAACTCTAAACAACTACCTTTTGCCTCATCATTCCAACTTACTTATAGCAAAGGCACATTATCATTCCACCTGGGTAGCTATGGCTGGAGTTTCACATGATAAAACAAAGTACCATCTTGATGGCCACTATTGTCTTGCTTCTGTAAAAGGTGTAAGACAATTTGTACAAACCTTTGCTGATCTTTCTGTAATTATCTCACAAGATAATAAGACGAAGATAGGTTTAGGAGTAGCTGCTGTTAGTAGAATATTTTATATCTTACAATCTTCCTCTCAATCAGTTCAATTACCCGATTATAATTTCGTACATAGAAGTAGCCAAAAACTAATTCCTTTAGTCTATCTAATGATTAAACTGAGTGAAACTAATGATGATTTTTGGACAGAACAATTTTCAATCATCATTAGGCCTCAATAGTCAATTGGCACATTATCTATTACTCATATAGAAGATCTTTCTAGTCTTGTATTGGATAATTAATATTCTAAAATATTAAAAATAAATGGTGAAATAAAACTGATTTGGGTGTTATTAGTTGATGATAAACTTGATGAGAACTTAGGCACCTTAAAAATATTGAATCATATTGCAAGATTTTTAAAAAATTCGATTTTGATTACTTGTCAGTACATACATATGCCCCAGGGCAGTCAAAGTATAATCCAGTCGAAAAAGAAATAGCTACACTTTCTGGTAAGTTGGCTGAAGTTGTTTTGCTGATAGATTATTTTAGAAAGCATCTTGATAGTCAGAGTAGAGTTGTTGATAATGAATTAGCAACTAAAAATTTTCATTATGCTGGTTCTATGTTGTGTGACATATGGGATCGAAACCCAATTTTTGAAAAATATGTAAAAGCAATATACATTGATAAAATAACTAATCCATTTGTGGATATTATATTTACTTGCGAGAAAGAAGATAAGAATGCTAAAAAAAGAAAAAAAAATCAAATCAGCAGAATTTTGATGATGAAGAGGAACAAGACTTTAATGAATCTACTAATACTTCTGTTTCATGATTCTGGATAGAAAAACATTATAGTTTGTGTTAATATTTGATCGATATTAAATGTTGCACTAATCTGAGTTGCTGTAGATCTACTAGAGCACAAGAAGCTATAGATTTTTTTCAACTATTTGATGGTTTTCTTCTTCCTATTACCAAAGCCCAAGATGGTCACTATATTAATCCTGTTCACCTTCTCCAATATTCTAAGCGATTTAAAATTTCTGATTATGATGAACATTGTTTATTTATTAACCAAACAATGTATTCTTGACTTTGCTACTTAATTTGCTATAAGTATTTTCCTACTCTATTGTATGTGGCAAAGCATAAACATTTACAGCATTTATCCAACTGTAGAAAGGCTAAAAAAGAACCAGAAATTTTAGAATCAGTTGCAGAAATTGTTGTAATTTCAAATTATGCAACTATAGAAGATTTGAACTTATCACTTTTGCAACAAAATAAAAGTTATTTAGACAAATATAGGGAATGCTTTTCAGATATAGAGTAAAAAGTTTTTTTTTAAGAAAAAAATAAACTAACCTAAAGTATGCTACAGAGAAAAAAATCATAAAAATTCTTGTAGCACTTATGTACGTAGTTCTGTGTTTGGATCTATATCTTTATACTCAGATCTATACAAATATATACTACATATTTGTCATTAAATATTTGATTAGCTTATATGTATACCATCTGTATGTATCTGGTTGTTTGTTTTAGTTACTTCGATATAAAATAAAATATTATGCAAATTATGAGTGTTCGTGATCATGTTTCTCAATTTTGATTAGGTTGGCTTGAAAAATCATATGTATAAAGAATAATGTACAATACAATATAATATAAACTAACACTGAGTCATTAGTTATTAACCAATAATACTGTATTTATCATATAATTAAAGTTGTTATATAAATCAGTTACTTTAAACTGGTAAGGTCTACTATAAAGGTCTGCTGCATGAATGGTATACCAGTATATGATCACATAATAGACCTGGGTCTTATACTTTTTATCTTTTACTAAATCTAAGTAACAGACTTAACTAAGTCTACTAGGAGACAATTTATAGTATATCTGATATATAGTACTGTACATACATATATAGGACATAAGACATTCCTTCATCTTCTTCTTCCCTAAAATATTATGTAATATCTGTTACCACCCTAACTAATTTATTGTTTAACAATAGTATTTTATTAAATTAATAAATAGCAAATGATGCAGAAGTATTTCAAATATAGAATAAATAACAAATATTTTTTAAAACTTTAATATAATTTTTAATATTTTATATTATTTTGAATTGTTTTAAATAATTATAATGTTAAGATATTTAAAATTTTTTTAAAAAAATGCAAATATTTTTTTTTTGTTTTTTTTTTGTTAAGGCCATACTTGTGGCAATATTTTATTAACTTTATATTGAGTTAGCTATTACAACTATTTTTACAGAGATAAGAGTATAGCTAGTCACACATGCAACTTTTGGTTGCCTATTTAAATAGTCTGCCCTAAGGTTCTACACTAGATGTTATACCTATAACCTACTAGGAGATTATTCATTTAAACTCTCTGATTATCTGCTCTGTCATATTGGAATCTCTAACTAACCCTCCATATATATCTACCTAGTATACTGTCTGAGCAGTATAGTACCTATCCTTTTTGTACTAGTTCTCAGGCTATTACACATTTCAGAGTATATCACTTGCCAGTAAGATGCAAGAAGCCTCCTGTTGTTAACTATCTACCTACTTTTAGAACACTAATACAGGCTATCCTTACAGAGTTTATCTAGACCCCAGTACTGACTTCACAGCATATCCCTAGTACTTTTAGTATACTCCTGCTTTGAACCCAGACTCCTAATCCAAATAGCCTAGAAGGACTATGACCTGTTCTTAGTATATTAAGGCCAGCCCAATATCCTTTTTCTTCAGTCTGAAATCTGATAACCTAATTGGTAATACCCTTCACCTGAGGTTCTTGCCTGCCCAAATTCTTCACATTGGTATTCATTTCCTAGATCTAGCCTTTATAGTAGTACCATCAAAGATCTGTGTTACCTCTCTGCTCAGAATTTCCAAATGGGCTCTGGCTTCTTAATTCTACAGATTTACATAGCCTGAGGACTTATTTTAGGTTTGCACTGCCTAGTATCGGTTTGTATTTCTCTGTATAACAGGTTACACAGATGCCCAGATCTGTCAGTCATGCTGGTGTGACTATAGTTACAGGTATCCTATCTTAACTGATCAACAGAATGCTATTGCTGTAATACCGTCTATATATTACATAGATGATTATCTAAATTTTACCATCGATGAGTTTTGAACTTACAACTTACCACTTGGAGATATAATAACTTATTCATTTCACTAAGTCACCACACCCTTAATGCAAATATTTTTAAATTTATCAAGTTAATTTACAAATTAAAGTTGTTATTTCATCAAATTTTAATATGTTTTTACAAGCTAGATAAACTTTATTTGATAGCTTTTGCAATTATATAAAATTTTAATTTTATTTAAAAAATATTTTACAAGTTTGCTAATACTTCGAAAGATTTTTTAATTTTTTAATTTATTTATTATTAGTTCTATATTTTTTTTTTTTTTTTTTTTGAACTTTGGCGACAATGCCAGTTGGTTTTTATTAGCTTAATCTTTAATATAGTACAAATTTATGGTTACATTTTTAGGATCGATTATTACTAGTACTATATACTATCTAATTTAACACCACTG